TTAATCAGAAAGTATTACGTTACAAGGATAATGTAATATATATGCGTTTTCGAAGCACGAGACGATGAGCGCATTGCTCTAAAGGCTCTTTCGTATGTCCTTTACGGGCATACTCCATACGAAATTGACACACTTCCATTTAAAGTTTCTTCATCGATGGACCCACTTTCGTATGCACGAAAAGGAAAGGTCCAATCGGAGCCTGGTATTAAAACATACCCATAAATGGTCTCTTATTGCCGCTACCATTATTCACAACGCGACATTATTATCAATATGACGATAACAGTTTTTTTTTCTTCAATATGCAATGGAAAAAACCTTTACAAAAGGAAGAATATATTTTTTTTTTCGAATAAATGAACAAGGGAAATAGCGTATACAACCTTGGAACAGCATAATCAAAAAAAAAAGAAAAAAAGAAAAAAAAAGAGGGCGGTACTATAATCGTCACAGAGGATACAATGATGAATCGCAAAAAGGACATGGTTGATGGGGATTCGAAGAGGAGGAGGAAGAGTATACATCAACGAATATCTGGATATGAGATCATTCGACGTCCGGCTTGGGAACGTCGGGATGCAAAAGGAGTGAGAGAAGCAGAGACAGACGGAGACAATATACTTGTCAATGGGAAGTGCGTTATCAACGAGCGACTTCCATCTTTTGTCTCTTTCGTTCTCTGTCTTTCTTTCTCGTATACACGCAAGATTCCGAGATCATGGCGACCTGATTTCGATGGCAGCCATGCTTTTCTCATCCTTTTTCGTCATTCTAACAAAGGACAAGGATAGCTTGCTTCGAAGCTACGTTCCTTTTCGAATCCTTGCCCTTTGGAGTCGTTCTTTTAAGAGAGAAAGTTACTGTAGGCGATGCTTTCGAAAAATTGAAATATTTTTTTTTGAGGCCTCCAATATTATAGTTTTAAATTATTATATCGAAATTCGGTTCAAGTTGTAGTAATTAAAAAAAAAAAAAAAAGAAAAAATGAACAGAAATAACTTTTCTTTTCACAATAACTTTCCCCCATTGAAGAAACGATGGAGAATAAAGACAATGGAATCATCCAAGACGAACGATGAACTTTGAAGATATTACGAACGGAAGGGAAAGCAATGGTAATTATTATTCGTAGGTACACATAAACGTTTTAGATAAGAGAGAAGAAAATAAATTCTTTCATTTCGGAGAGAAATGCGTCCTCGACTTCGTGAATAGTAGGACGGAAACGAGAGTGACTTCACCCCCGCATTTGCGATAGGAAGAGCAAAGAACGCGTAGGATTGGCTCGCGTATCCGTTCGATGAGCCTTATCACAAAATACGTTGTTCGTTTTGTCAGCAACGGCAATGGTAGCAGCAATCTCAAACGTTATAGTACCAAATGAGAAATCTACTAATCCATTGAAAACTGTCAACCAACAATCATACCAAATAAAAAGGTAAATGCGTGTTTCGCGATAATTTATCATATTATATGAGATATAAATTTATTTATGAAAAAAAAAAAAAAAAAATTATTATATACCTCCATGGGCATTCAAGATATTCTTTTTCATTTTTTTCGTTTATTATATAAAAGCGTAGATAATTTGAAAGAGAGAAAATAAAAACGAAACGAATACGGGAGTCGGTTGGCTCTCCTTCTCGTTATTTTCAGCGAATCGGTCGACGGAGACTTCTTTATCGGCGCTTAGATAGCCTAGTTTCTTGAAGCGAATCAAAACAGCAGTCTACCACGTGCGTTCCTTCTTTTCCGTTCGTGTTACACGGTTTTACGTACGTGCGAACGAAAAGAAATCTATTTAATATCGGCAATGAAAGATAAACACTTTCGAGATACTTTCGTTGAACCTAATTCTCTGTAAAACTTTATATACTATACGCATACATAATCATATTCTTATATAAATAAGTATATAATGAAGAAAGTATGGTGTTATGATCGTTGAGCCTTCTAAAACCGTTTAGAGATGCTCCTTCGGAACTCGATAATAAGAGATTACGTACGAAGGCGATTTAGCTCGTACGAGAGAGGGACTCTGGTCTGAGCGCGCGCGCGAGCTAGAGAGAGAAAGAGAGAGCGAGAGAGAGAGAGAGAGAGCGAGAGAGAGAGAGAGAGAGAGAGAATGCAGTCAAGCACGTGGGTACACGCGTAATATCTGGGTAATCGTTACGTTAGATAGGGATCAATGCCAAACGCGTTGGAACTCGAGATACCGCAATTTATCATTAAACGCCCACGTTTACGTTTCGTTAACCCAAAGTGCAGAATTGTGCCATTCCCGTTACTCCTACGGCAATTTCAGACAGACAGATCGTTCGCGCGGCAAATCGTTCTCGATGCTAAGAGTGAGATCGAGATGAACGTCGTTGGGGAGATGTCTCGAAGTATCTTCTCTTTTCAAAAGATCGTTTCCGTTCGTGATAAAGACATTTAAATAATAAAAACATGATATATTACCTTAACTACAAAAGGAATTTCTTCTATTTATTTTTTATTAATATAATACAATTTTTCAAAATTATAAGCTTATTCGGATTCGATGTTACCTTTCTTTTTTCTTTGTTCTTTTTTTTTTTTTTTCGATAACTTTAGTCGTACATAAGAAATTTTTGAAGCACACGAAGATAGTCTGTGAAGATCTCGAGAATGTCCGACGTGGTCCGACGGCTTGCTTTTGGGTAACATAAAACAACGCCGTGGGCGATTCTCTCTCTCTCTCTTTCCCTCTCTCTCTCTCTCTCTCTTTCTCTCCCTCTCTCTTTCTTTCATCTGCTGTGTTGAGCGAGCGCGCGCGCGCGCGCTTCGATCTTCTTAAGAAGCATGACGTCATCGAAAGAGACTCCACCAGCTTGCACGTAACCCCGGTGTCTTTCGGTCGCCGCATAAAACGAGATATGCCTCCTCGTAAACTCGTTCGTTTCTCCGCAAACCGATGAGAGTTCGTTAAGAAGTCGAGAGCGTGCGCGTGAGCCCAATGTTTTGTCACGCAGATCATTTTGACGTTTGCGTCTTTTAAAATTATGATTTGCATCATCGCGCGATTTTATTTTTTACGACTCTTTTTTTTTATATCTTCTCCCCATCTGTCTCTCTCTCTCTCTCTCTCTCTCTTTTTTACTCATATCAATGCCCTAATTCTCTTTACGAGTAAGACACTCCTTTATTTGATTTTATACTACGAGGTTTGCTCCTTTCAATGACGATATGTTCGTTAAAAATTTAATTTTTAAGATCGAGACAGTTTACATTTTAGAAAAGAAAAAATGAATAAGATCAATCGCGTATCAATCGATTTTTTATACAATTAACAATACTGGAGAAGCTACGAGCAGAATTCGTTTTCTCGTGTAGACGATAAAGTGCGGGCGAAGTCGTGGGAGTTGCTCTTGTAAAACGCTTCTGCCTCTCCACATTTGGAAGCGGTTCTCTTTCTAGACGCTGACGTTACGACTCTTTTTATTTCTGATATTACACGCTCGTCTAAGTAATAATATTTCTTTTCGAATAACGAAGAAAGAGAATTCCATTAATTTTTTTTCCATTGAAAAGCATAAATCGCGTGGGAGTGTTACGACCGTAAGTCTCGATCTTTGAAATAAGTAAGATTTTATAGTAACATAATGTTAGATAGCGTTGCTAAGAGAGACTATTTGTAAGCTGTCGCATAAATACTTACTCGATAGCCTTTTTCTCCGGTACCGCCATATTCACCGCCTGCGCCTTTCTCACCTTTAGGTCCAGGAGGTCCATCCGGTCCGATTTCACCCGGAAGACCCTCTAGCCCTTGCTGTCCAGGTATTCCAGGAAAACCATATTGTCCTTTTATACCGGTACAATTGCATTTGTAGGTGTCCTTGCAAATCTGAAATGCACAATGAACAAAAGCGCACGATAAAACAAAAAATAAAAAAATAAACATTTTCATGGTAGGTCTAATATTAATTCAAATGCTGATTATATTAACAATAAATTGTTCATTTTATTCAAAGTAAACTCCTTCGGCATTATAATAATATTATTCAACAAGGAGTCAAATCAGGTTATTATGTTGAGCGAACAAGCATTACTATTTGCTTTCTCATCATGCAAGAGAATGTTCTCCGTTGTTTGTTCAAATCATCGCGTAAAATATTATGAATTGTAGATTTCTACATATTAAATTCTTTTGCTAGCATGCGCGCAGTTGTGTTAGGCTCAACTGCCAATGTTTGACGAATCTTTTCAACGAGATTTTTTCATTCAGGACGTTTGTCATCCTTTCTGTCATTTCTAAATTTTGCTAATCATTCGAAAAGACATATACGACAATAGACAATCGTTTCCGTTGTTTTAGAATTTAAAAAGTCTGCGTTGCCATTTAATCGAGTTTTAACGTAGAATTTGACATCAGCTAATTGCTTCATTATATATGTCTATATGTTTGATACTCATATGCAAACGTACTACATTATTATTAATTGAAGACTTATAGAAAAAATGTCAAGAAAGGAAAAAAAGAAATAAATAAATAAAAAAAAAAAAAAAAAGAAGAAATGAATGAAATAAAACGGAAAAGACAGAAAATGAATAAAGAAAGAATTTGCTACATCCGCAAGTTGGTATCGAATTGAACGTGACGCGACTCATTGCGAGAAAATAGACGATCTCGTGCGATGACGATAACGATGACGATGATGATAGCGATGACGACGAGGACGAACCAAACGAAGGACACAGGCAACGAGTATCGCTTTATGCATAGGATATGCCTAACGGGTAATGGCGAGGTCGATGCGAAAATGCACTCACTCGACATCGCGTAGATCGGTCTTGGCCTCGGCTAGTCTCATCAAACGCTCGTCCGCGAGGCCGTTTTTACGGTATTAGTATGACGATTAGCCGTCTTCCGTTTGGTCGATGAAGTCATTTTGGGAAAAAATTCATTCGGTATATCTGTTAAATCGATCGGATCAGAGGAAAGAAATTAGATATATTTGTCTTTGGGTATTAAATCTTTTTTTTTCTTTTTCATTTATAATCTATTACATCATTAGCTCTTTAAATTAATTCACATTATGCTTATGATTATTTTTTTGTATGAAACGAGAAATAGCGAAGTTGTAGGAGATTACAAAAACGGTCAGTATCGTTCGAGTATCGTCGGACGTGCTAACGTCTAATGCCTTTTTCTCATTTTTTTTTTCTCTTTTTGTTTTAGAAAAGCAAGGAGGAGTCGAGCATCGAAGGACGTCGCTCTATTTGCAGAGCGTCGGAGGCGAACGAAAATGGAGAGTCGCTTCCACGCGTTTGCCTTGCGGATGAATATTCCGCTTGTGTCAACTAAGCGTTTCGTGTTCGTCGCTCTCAACGAATCTGCTGGATAAATTTGTTGGAAGACCTTCGACTTTTCAATCTCTATTAATTCTCCCTTTTACGACAGAAAAATACTTACAATTAGATTTATTACAATATTGTCATATTTTACGAGCTAATAAATTAATCAGACAAAAGTAACAGATCGTTGGAGGTAAAACCGATAGTTGAAACATTATATAATATTTTTCCTCGTTTTGCCACTTAAATCGTTGGTCATCTTCGAAAGCGTATCGAGGAGATCGTCGGTACTTGTTACTTTTTTTTCTTGCGCCTTACGATGACGTAACAAGCGCAACGGTAATTCGCCGCGTGACATAATTTCGCGAGCACTCGACGCGTCGACTCCGGCGATCTGCGGCGAATTATGCCTCGATTCGCGGAGGCGCCTTCCACTTACTTATCTGCCGCGCCGTAACATCCGTTCCAGAATTCTTTCCTTCAGATTACTTTTGATCTGAAAAACTCTTCGAATTTGCTTCAACGAATTTGCTTCCTTCGTTTGGTTCATCGCGTTGATAGAAAAGTCCGCCATGTGTCGAATGCTTTCCACGAATCGAGGAAGTTTACGTGATCACTTAAAATATTCACTCCTCTAGTCATGGGTCTACCGATGGGTGGGGCTATTGAACTCCTTGAAAGAACCGGTGTATGTTCGTTAAAGATATGATCCAGATCAGATATGTTCAAAGATGGTTCGCGAACCTAATTGTCTTTTATTTCTCCTCAGATTTTCCTTATTCTCAATTATATTATAAATTGTACCAATAGTCGGACATACGAGAATAACAGAATATATGAATACAAAGAAAAAAAAAAACACTTTTCATCGTTTCTTCGATATCGTTATATTGCCGTGTTACGATATTGTTGCGTTTCCTACTATAAACGAATGTTTTGTATATTCAAATCCCTGATTAAATTTGTAATATCCAAAAAAATGTCAGTGAAGTAAGTATACCACCACTGATAATAGAATCATCTTTCCTGTGGCGAAAAGTTTGCACTTCTTCGGAATCTGGATCAATCTACGACGATGTTTGGTTTACCTGTTTTTATTTCCGATAAGGAAGAACGACTGATAAGAAACAATAGGGTCACGATAGGTTTAGAAAAATCGTTAAACGAGAAAGCATGTAGAAGATAACTATCGATGGAACTTAATTTCTTATCGGTCATTAACTTTTTAAACTTTTCCGTCGTTTGGTGCTCCAAATTTAAGATTTTTTCTTAGCGAATAAAATTTTTACATGTAATATAGAAAGTGAGTGAAAATATGAGACTATTCCTTTAGAATCTGCATAACGTGTGGCACAAACGATCGTCTTCAGGGACCGTCGAAGGGAATGACGCTGACCAAGCGAAATAGCGGATGGATACCGTAGGACGTAGGTAGAAGAGTTGGCTATCGTGATTCGTGAGCTTCTCCCTCTGGTTAATTCTCTCTCTCTCTCTCTCTCTTTCTCTCTTCTCTCTCTTTGTGTGTCCGTCTATCTGACTGTCTGCCTGCCTGCATACCTTCGACTTCATCCTCCTCTTCTTTCCATTTCTTCTCTTTTAGTAAACGACCATGTTTCACGATTTCTCTTTCATTAAATTTCATAAATTATAATATTTATAGTAAAATATTTTTCTTCTAATTTCTAAAAAAAATCATTCAATTAGGAGTCAATTAAAAATTGTGGCAGTGTTGTGTAACATGGTATATACGTAAGTTTACATTTTTAGACTATAGCACAATTTCCGTAATTGATAGTACTTTTTTTATGCTGTTGATACTGTCAATTAAGCCATGTTTAAAGTCAAGCGTTTTAAAAATGAATTTCAAACAGAAATAATATATTAAAATGATTAAAAAAATGTATATCTCTTAGAAAAAATTAAAAAAAAATTTGTAGTATTGCAAAATGTTTATTGGATTAAAGATTGAGTAAATTATTAGTAAAAAACGAATTACGGTCAAGATCGATAGGCGTATCCTTCTCAGCGAGCTTAGCATTGAACTCTAACGTAACCCGAACGAATCTTTTGATTTAATTCTAATCGGACTGGCAAGTTTCTACTGCAGGTCAAATGTCAAGTACGATTCTCGGTTGCAAGCAAACCTTGAGCTTTTCCAAGAGACTTCTCTTTGATGATAGATCTTCCTTTAATTAAAATTTATCAAGTTTTTCACGATCGAAGATTAGGATGAAGGGATTTAGACGATCCATTTTGTAAAATTTAGAATAAAATTCAAAAGATAGTTTGATATTTTTCATTGGATTAGGTTGGCTTAAAAGTAAGAAATTAAACGATGCACGCATTCGAATTCTTTCAATGATACGATTCGACCTCGTATTTCTGAATGCAGCGAAATGCGATGATACTAGGAGTCGAACTTCTTCCTGGTTTAATTTATCGACGACATATGAGAAGGAAGAGGAGAAGAAGGAGGAGAAGAAGGAAGAGGAGGAGGAGGAAGACGAGAACAACGAGAAGAAGAAGGAAAAAATATCTCGCTTTGGTTGCATCGCTAAAGACTATCGGCTCACGCGGAAATAGAAACGGATATGAAGGCGAGACCAAATCTAATTTTAGTTGGCAATAGATACTCTTGTATTTTAGAGGGATCCAACGTTTCCTATCATAGTGAAAGATAATAGTTTTGTACAAATCAAGGTGCGTTAAAAAACCTAAATTGAAAGAAAAAATATAAGTAATATTAAAATATAACATAGACAAGTAATTGGATATTATTATTAACCAAAGTACGAATTTTATACTCGAGCCCCTTCGTCGAAGCATGCTTTCAAGTAATAAACCAATGAGAATTGGTCAACGCAAGTTCCTCAGATTTCAAAAGAACGTTACGCATCGCGGCTAACCCCTTGAACTCCACGCGATAATATTATATCGAGGTTACTCGTTTCGTAAGAGATATCGCTTTCGCCCTTAAATATTCTCTATAAATGGAAACGTGTCAGAAAATATGACGTGTTCACCTATGCGAATCTTTTATAATATTCACATATTCGTTTAATAGTTCGATATTTATTTTATTTCGACGTTCATTGTCAAGAAGTTAACAATTTAACCTAAGAAAGTTCACGATCGTCATGTCTCATTGGAGTTATTAAAGACCTCTAAGCACTTAATTGAGTGATAAGTTCCTTTTGATGGACCGCGACAATACAGTAATGAAACTGAAACCATGTTTATAACATAACTAGAATGAATTCTATCGGTATTTTCTTTGAAGATAAATAAAAATAATTCCTCGAAGTCATTGTATGTGTTGGATTGTACAGAATCGGTAAGCACTGTTGTCGACAAGAAAATTTGGAGGAAACTGTACGATCGAAACGAAAATGATTCTTGGAATGTTATCGGTACCTATTTTCTTTCGTGCTTATCGACCTTACGTCAGATATAAATGTTTTAGGTGAATCATCATCTCTTTTTAGTATTAAAATCATGATTAATAAATAAACTTGTTCCTTTGAATGAAATTGAAATATCATCTCTTATTTTCTTGCAATCTTTAGAATTTCTGGGAATCAACGATGATTATATAGAAAAGTCATTTGCGATAAACTTTGCTCGTGGTTCATTTAATTTAACATTTTTAAAAATGAAGCCATTACCAAGAACGATGCGACGAACTTGAGGAGAGTTTACGCTTGCGTACAAACAAAATAAACGCGGGAAGGGTTATCGTAACATCCATAAACACTTTAGTCTATTAAACAATTCTCGGATGATTCTCGGACGATTCTCGACTAGCTCTTATCATCGTCGGTCGCCACAACGAACACTTTCATTCACGTTCTTAATAAATTATTTTCATGCGTGATGTCACTAGCACGTTGTCTTCATTCGTTGAGTTTGACTCGTTAGACACATAACGATATTCTCTTATCGCTTCGATACTTCTCTTTTCATTTGCGCAAAGGAAGTATGTATATTTGGTGAATTTCTTGAAAATTATTTTTAGACTTTACGAGTTAGCTTTACGATATACCAATTTTTATACGATTTACAAGTCGAACGAGTTTCGTGCTAGTAAAATCATGGCTGACATCGTAATTTTAACTCGGCTAACTCCAGTTCGGTGAAAGTAATACTATTGTCCTATAGTCCGCTACCAAGGCTCGAAATAGCTGCTTCTTCCACCTCTGTTTTCCATCGACATCGGTACCATTTACGTACTTTACTAGGGTGTAATAGCAATATATAGCAACGGATAGAGTTGGTCGAATTGATCGATCAAAAATATGCGAATTGAATGGTTAGCTAAAAAGGACGAAGAAGGAAAAAAAGAAAAAAAAAAAAAAAAGAAAAAACGAACAAAGAAAATGAGAACACGTATGAGATAAAATTCGTAAGGCCATCGGTTCGAAAGAAGGTGGATAACATAATAGCGGAGGATGATTCCGGCTGGGGCTTGCGAAACCGAAGAGATCGTCCTACACCTCCCCTAACTCGGTCGGCCTTCCTCTTTCGTCTCGTACAACAAAGACTGTTCCCTACCATCGGGCGTCGAAATCGCCTGCGGAACTGCCTGCTGAGTGACTTCAATGATATAGAAAGATTAAACTGTTTGAAAAGCGAAACTTTTCGACATTTTCCGATGGAGCCCAACCTATTCTATATAACATAGATATTCTTTTCAATGTAGAACGTAGTTTAAAGGGAATCTTTGCTAAGATTTACTTTCTTTCGGTCTATCTTTTGATGCGGACTATCTTTTACGATCGAATTTTTTTACCGATCTTTTCTCTATCGGTAGATTGGCATCCTAGGGTGTATCAAGAGGATGAAATTTTATGTCATCGAAGCATTTTTTATTCGAGATAATTGAAAAGCATGAACTCTGTACGTTAGGATTAATTCGCACGTTTTGTCGTAACCTCGTAGAAAGTTAAAGGCAATAAATGGGTATAGCGTTCACCCACATTCATAAGCGAGCTCGCGTGTTTCGAGCATGCCGTCACGGAGTTTATATTTTCTTTTGCCTCTAGGTCGATTCGATCGATCTAGACGGGCGAAGCAAGCAAATGTCAGCCCTATCTTGATAAGCGCATTGAAAAATTAAAGGTGACAAATTGATAGTCACGAATATATAATTATATCGATAAGGACTAGAAGATTTAACTTACCGTAGCTTTGGTCGCAGATATTT